CTCCAGCACTGGAACCAGTGTTGTCTCCTCACACTGCAGATATTTAACTGCTTACGGCTTTCCTGCAGCTACAGATTGTGTTTGTCAACAGCTGGACCATTCTGAGCACAGGTGTCCAGAATGAGCTAAAAACCGCCCAAATCGGCTCAGAACCTGAAGATCCTGATGGTGCAAGTTGTTAAATGTCGGCGCTCTCGTCCTCTCAGGTCACGACTGCTCCATCCGGCTATGGAACATGGAAACCAAAACCTGCATCCAGGAGTTCACCGCCCACCGCAAGAAGTTCGAGGAGTCCATCCACGACGTGGCGTTCCACCCCACCAAGTGCTACATCGGCAGCGCCGGCGCCGACGCGCTCGCCAAGGTCTTCGTATGACCCGAGAGCGGCGAGGAGACGTCCTGACGGGCCGGCCGGGTCTCTGCTCAGCCCCTCCCCCTGGACTCGGGCTGGCCCGGTCCTCGAAACAAACGCACCTCTGAAGCAGCGCTCAGTGCTTTCGCTGGAATCTGTTGTTCGTCTTTAACGCGTCTCTTCTGTAACCACAGACTCTGCAGCCGTCTGCCTCGAGGGATTCGATCAAAATGTGCCTTTTTCCTTCACGACTAAAGGATCAGAAGCTGTGGGAGCAGCAGCAGAACCAGGCGGCGCCAGAGTTGGACTGTGAGCTCCTGAACGCTCCCGGACTCACAGCACAGGTTCATCCAGTAAACCAGGTGGCATCAGGAACACCTGAAGAGTTTAACTTCAGCTCTAGAGTATGACTTCAGTCCGCTGTGCTGTGTCTCTGCTGACTTCCTGCTCCGTTAGAAAGATTCAGAACCACCGGGACAGAACAGCGTTTATCAGAACTGCAGCCTTCAGAAAAAAACTTTCACATTAATTTATTCGTTTTTCAGTCCGACTGAAAGGAAAAACAGAAGTTCTCCTCCTGGAACAAACGTTTCTCGACCTACGTGAGAGTTCTGCGTCCGTCTGACCCGATCGCCAACACGTCCATCAGGTTGGTTCCATGTGATGATGAATCACAGCGTTGTCTCAGACAGATTGGTCCAAAGTCACTAGAACTCGTCCAGAGTGATCCTAAATTTATCCAAAACGGTAAAACTCTGTTCAAAAGTTGTCCACAATAACTAAACAATAATCAGGCCTCGTCTGAAACGACCATCGATTCGTCAAAAACAAAATATGACTGAAATGATTCAAAGTGCGTCCAAATAACAAAACTCTGACCGTGATGGCTGAGAGTTTGTCCGTCGTTACAAAACCTGACCCAAGATGACTCTAACTTTGTCCCAAATGACCCAAACATGTCTGAAGTAAGCACGCCTCGTCCAAAACAACGTGTTCTGTTCGGTCCATAAGGACACCACTCGTCCAGGTGATGATGTTTGTAATGAGTCCGAATGACTCCGATGTTGTCCTAAATGGTCAAACATTGTTTAAAGGAACTGAAATATGTTCAAAATAATAAATCAGATTTCAAAGGTTTGTCCCAAAGGACTGCGGATTTCTCCAGAACAATAAAACATTCTTTAAAATGACCCAAAGTTTGTCCAGAATTACTCAAAATTTGACCCCAAAAAAAGTTGTCATTTTGGACGTTTTTTGAGTCATTTCGGACCAGAACTCTTGAAGGCTTTTGTGCTGAGAAACGCGGTTTTGTTCTGGTTCTATTCTGGTTCTTTGAATCTCTACAGCTGAAGTCAGGAGACGCGCTGAAGCAGGTCCTCGCTTCTGTCCAGCCTGAAAGCGACTGCAGGTGTTTCTTTTCCTCACACGGGTGTAAAATATTCTGCAGCTTCGGCTCCACGTGAAACCTGCTGCAGACGAGCTGCGGCGACGCTTCTTCTTTTAGCTCTCATCTCGTATTTATTAAGAGGCCAAATGAAAGCGCAGAGATTCGGCCGAGCCTGGCGCCGTCGCTAATGCTAATTAGCTCCACGTGTTGTGAAGTAACTCGCCGGTTCTGGTCCCCGACCTGCTCCGGGCCGCCCCTCAGATTTGTACATGCTTTATATGCTGAATGCCTGAAAATACTGTATTTTGTGTAATTACTATGATTTGGAGCGATTACTAGTTTTTTAAATGACTCTCTGTGTTTGGTGACAGACGATAGATATTTTTTTTATTCTCCGTTTTACTTGAAAAGTGTCGTTTGTTCCTTTTTAGGGGTTTCTGCTGGTGTTTTGAGAAGTCCACGTGTCGCACACGACTTCACCTCTCAGCACTTCTTCTTTGCTTTTTACCAAACTGTCATCTCAAACACGTGTGTTCGTGTGTCGTGACTTTGAGAAGTTTTAAATCCAATCTGTAAAAAGGGGAAATAGAAGCGTGTACAGTTTTTAAGTATTAAAGCAGATCTATTTATTAACCTGGTGTAAAGGGAGTATTGGGGGAAGGCTGAGCCGCAGAGTGGACGTCTGTCGGTGAGTCATTCACAGACTTCTGGACAAAGATCAAACTTTGATAAGCAAACGCACGACGAGTTAGCGGCTGCTGTTCAATTCAGCTTTCCTGTAAAATGATGCAGAATGTGAATGGAGTCTGGTTGGTTTGGTCAGACACGGTGAACTGTTCCTTTAAAGGACTCATCACGATCAAAGGTGTTTATAAGTCTGAGGTTTTAAATGAAGGACAACCAGACGATCTGTCCGCTCGTTCACACTGAGGCAGCTTTTTCAGATTTGCGTGTCGGCTCTTCTGTGAAAATTTGATCCGTGTAAATGTTTGTAGAACCACGATACGGTCTTTAAATGGATGTATATGGAAGTATGCGAGGGTTGATTAAAACGCTCAGAGACTGTGGCTGAAACAGCGTTGACCGTCTCCTCCTGAGTGTGGGCAGCGATGCTCTGCTCCCAGCGCTCCTGCAGCACTTCAGCGCTCCACAAACATCTCAGCTCCATCTGCAGTGAATCTCCAAATCTCAACGGAGAAACTTCATCTCTGGATCGTTTAGTGGAAGAAGAAGTTGCAGGAAGACAAATCTGGACAGCAGGCGGTGCAGAGCGACGGTTGGTTCGGCTGCAGAGCTCTCAGGTTTCTGTCGACGTCTGACGGCTGCCTCAGATGTTCTCGGACTCCTCTGAAGGCCACAGTAGAACAACTTCCAGTGTTTCTGACTCTGTGAAGTTTAATCTGACGAGATAAGTCTTCTGTTAAGGTTTCGAAACCTCGATTACACGTGATGCTGTTGTACAGTCCTGTGATTTCACATCACGACATGATGCCAGATGCTCACGCAGCGACGCTAAAAATCACACAGTGACAGAAAGGAACTACAGCGTGGTGCAAAATAAGCTCAAGATGTCAACAGTGGGATAAAGAATGACAACAGGATCCAGTTAAAACTCTCACAAAAGCACAAAACAAGCAAAACAACTGCAGAGTTATACAAAGCAAATACAAATGGGCCCAAAACAAAGTGACAAATTCTACATTTATGTTAAAAAAAGACAAATAAGGACACAAAACAAACCCACAGCGATGCAGAAGAACCACAAAGCGCCAACAGGGACGACAGGTGAGGACATAAAAAACACACAAAGCAGCCACAAACGCTGTAAAGTGACGCAAAGCAAACACAACGTGAAAATAATGTGACAAAAAATGATAAACTGATGCAGAGACGGCGAGAAGAAGATAAAACAAACCAACACCAGGCGTCTCCTCCTGGTCGGTTCTGGCCTCTTTGAGATGTTGCTCAGAACATTTGGGCCGACTCGATGCTTCGTCTGTTTCCTTTGCGAGAGTCTCTGCTGCAGAATCGGATGTTCTGATCCGTCAGACTCCTGCATCACGTCTCACTGGCCCTGATGCTGTCGCGCCACAGGTGCTGCACAGGTGAGACGGTCACCTGCTCAGTCTCTGAACCTTCTGATCAAACCTCGCGCTGACGACAGATTCAACAGAACTAATCCAAAGCAGAACTGCAGCGCTCACCTAAACCGACCTTTGGCAGGTGAATGAGATCCCGCTGGTGTTCATCGTCTGGTATGATCACAGACTGTAATGAGGCCGTGGCTCTAATCTGTGATATCTGGACTGGAGTCTGGTTCTCAGAGAGAAACACGAGGTCCACTGAGCTCATGTTGGCGCTTTGCAGCCACATAAGGTTCAGATATTTAAGGTGGGTTTTGCTTCCAGCAGGAGTCGGTGTCTTCTGCTGAAACAATGTTGAGCTGAAGCAGGATTCATGAACAAACCCGACTCCTGTCAAGGGTTGGACATGACTCTCAGTCCCACTGGCCAGCGGTGGCTCAGGCAGCTGGTCGGTGGCCAAAGCAGAGCTGAACTTCAGACTGGGAGCTTCAGGTCCAGTCGGCCTGTAAATGATTTCATGTTTATAGTGAAACCCTGAAGCAGGACAGAAGCTGCTGTACATACACATGTTGTTTTCCTTCTTTTCCTCACGATGGGACGGTGGCAGTAACAACAATAAAGAATATGTTGAACTGATGTGTGTCTTTGTTGCATTAAAACCCTGAGAGGAGCGCTTGGTTTGTCCACACAGCGCGTCTACAGCTTCCAGCGTTCCTGACTGTGTGTTTGATTCAGTTCTTCAGTGTGTGTGTGTGTGTGTGTGTGTGTGTGTGTGTGTGTTGAAAAAGAAGTGGCACAAAAAAACTGTTTTCATGCAAAATAGCTATAAATAGTGCAGTGTCATAAAATAAAATGACATAACACCATACGAGATGCCTACAGAGTGACAAGCATCAAGCACATCTAAATAAACAACTACAATGAAGAAAATTAAATGTCTAATTAATGAAATGTCGGTGCGGGAATGTTTGTCTCCGTCCTGCCGCTGGGTGCGCCGTGGTCACCGGGTCAGCAGGGGGCGCTGACGTGCTTCCAAACAGGTTTGTCGACCGTCATTAAAGTCAACGAAGAAGAAGTCAAGTCGCGACGCCTCTGACGTCTGAGGGCTGCTCTCCTCTGATTGGCTGGCAGGGCTGCGGTCCTCAGTCCTGGTAAACAAAGCTGCGCCGCTGGGCTGCCGGACGGCCGAATCCCGCTCGGTTCGGAGGGAGACACGATGATAAAACCCTCCGGTTGACGCTACACTGAGCGGAACCTCCGGTTGCTACCGAGCGATACCGGCGACAGCAGCTCAGAAGAAGCAGCGCGCCTCTTGGTTAGTAAGCTAACTAACTAACTAACTAACTAACTAACTAGCGTAGACATGCTAAGGTTAGCAGTAAAATGGTGTCTCCGGGAGTTGCCTCCCAGCGGTTAACTTGTTATTCCAGACTCCGGTGGTTCGACTCTCACCGGTCCGGTGTTTCAGTCCGATGAAGTTGAGTCGATGTGATGTTTAGTAAAGTCACCGGTGAAACTGTGGTGGCTAGCTGGGCTAACGTTAGCTCAGCACAGCTCAAATCCTCCATGTTTTGAACGGAGTCCGGTTGCTGCTGTCACTGAACGTGAAACGTCTCTCGGCAGACTCCGGCCAGACCTCCAGGAGCAGCGGCTCAGTCCGGGTCCCCGGTGCTGCCATGACCCGGCCTGCGGTCTGACAGGAAGATAATGGCTGCGGAGCTGTTTCCCACTAAGAAGCTGGTTCCGTCAGCTAGCAGCACCACGTCCATCCAGCAGTACCAGCAGCAGAACCTGACCAACAACAACACTGCGGCGGCCGCGCACGGCTGCTGCAACTGGCAGGGCCTGTACCCGACCATCCGAGAGAGGCGAGCCACACACACACTCCCCGTTGTCCGGTCCAGCTGCCCCACAGCCCAGAGAACAGCCACACAATGACACTAAACCACTGCAGACACACACAACGTAACTTAAAAACAAAAGTAAAAAGACGCAAAACTAAGACAAAGAGCTGCAAAATAACGTAAGACGACTACCCAACGACACAAAACAACGAAAAAGAAACGTGAAAGATGTAAAAGATCTATAAAGAAACACAACATAATGCACAACAACTACAAATGGGAGCCCGATAATGTCACTAAAGTGACGTAGAAGAACTTCAAAGCTACATGAAACCGTACAAATCACAGCAGAATTCCACTGAACAGCTATAAAATGATGTAATGCAGCTTTAAAGAGACACAGTACGACGTAGAACAACTTCAAAGTGTCGTGAAATGACACAAAACCACAACAGTGACGTAGTGAACCACACCAACGAGTGCAAATAGAGGTGAAGTGGTGCAGGTGGAGTACAGGTTCACAGCTGCACATTTGTTCTGAACCAGAAGATCACAAATGTGAAAGCTTTGACGGGTGTCGTGTCTTCACTGTGAACATGTCGACATATCTACATATTTTAAACTTGCATTAGAAAACCTTGTTGAGGTTTCAGACTGCTGAATGTTGTGTCTTTGTAGGAATTCAGTCATGTTCAACAATGAGATGATGGCAGATGTTCACTTTGTGGTCGGACCACCCGGTGGGACGCAGCGAGTCCCAGGACACAAGGTAACCCCAGCACACGCTGCTCTCGCTCATGCAGACCTCTTCATGTGTCGAGCAGCTTTACAGTCCCGGACAGCACGTGAACCCGTCTGAGTTCACAAACTTGTGCTTAACGTCTAGAAGCCGACCTCATGTCCAGGTTTGTCCTCTCTGAGCTCTGGAGCAGATAGAAGACCTCCACCTGAGGTTGGCAAACTACATGAATGTGGCTAGAGAGGAGCCTCAGAACCAGAATCCGGACTTTTAAAGCAGGAATGTGGTTGTCCTGTTGGTCACACACATGAAGAGAAAGTTGTCTGAGTTGAACTTTTAGAACTGACTGAGCAGATCTGACAAGTTGAAGCACAAAAACAGGAATGATTCTCCAAATATCTCTGAGAACAGCTGATTTAATGTCATTCATGTTTTCAGAACCCATTCTGTACATCCTGGTTTTGCAGCGACAGGTCATGTTTGTAATTATCACTTCAAAAACTCACTAATGGTTCGATGTATCGAGCTAAAATATCTATAAATGTCTTTATTTAATGAGTGAACAACATTCATCCAATCAGAGGTGGACGAGCACAAACCTTAGATGATCTGAGATGGAACGATCCGGCTGCTTGTATGTTTGTTAGTCAGGTCCATGTCTGAACATTAACCTTGTCTCCGCAGTACGTTCTGGCCGTCGGCAGCTCCGTGTTCCACGCCATGTTCTACGGAGAACTGGCCGAGGACCAGGACGAGATCCGGATCCCCGACGTGGAGCCGCCGTCCTTCCTGGCCATGTTGAAGTAGGTGTGAAGAGCCGCTCGGCAGACAGTCGGCCTGAAACTAAAACTCATTCTGAGCAAATTTTCTGTCAGTTTCGGATCATGTATGAGTCATTTAGACAAATCGAGTCATCTTGCATAACATTCGAGTCATTTTGGACGAATTTCTGTGTGATTCTAAACAGATTTTCTGCATTTTCTGATAATTAAGAACTATTTCATGGTGAAAAACACGTCAGAGTTCTGGTTGAAGCTGACACCAGATCAGATTTACATCCATCCAGGTGTCACAAAGCAAAGATGGAAAAAATCTGGACGAATTGTGGCCTCAGACGGTTAGAACTGAGGTGTGGTGATGCTCAGCCATGTCTGGTCCATCATACCACGACCTGAAGCTTCACTGTTCTGTACCAGTAGAACTGGTCGTCAAAGAAATCCCTCTCAGGCTTTGATTTTAACTTAAATCGTTATGTTTCAGCTTTAACCTGCTCTGTGAACCTTCTCTTGTCTCTATTTAATGTGGAACACCTTTTTTTTCCCTCTGTGCCTCCTCTGATGTCTGAACTGAACCGGGCCCTCTGCAGGTACATCTACTGCGATGAGATCGACCTGTGCGCGGACACGGTGCTCGCCACACTCTACGCCGCCAAGAAGTACATCGTGCCTCACCTGGCGCGCGCCTGCGTCAACTTCCTGGAGACGAGCCTGAGCGCCAAGAACGCGTGCGTGCTGCTGTCGCAGAGCTGCCTGTTCGAGGAGCCCGACCTGACGCAGCGCTGCTGGGAGGTGATTGACGCGCAGGCCGAGCTGGCGCTGCGCTCCGAGGGCTTCTGCGACATCGACGCGCAGACGCTGGAGAGCATCCTGCGGCGGGAGACGCTCAACGCCAAGGAGATGGTGGTGTTCGAGGCGGCGCTGAGCTGGGCCGAGGCCGAGTGCCAGAGGCGGGAGCTGCCGCCGAGCATCGAGAACAAGCGGCTGGCGCTGGGGAAGGCCATCTACCTGATCCGCGTCCCCACCATGGCACTGGAGGACTTCGCCAACGGAGCGGCGCAGTCCGGCGTGCTCACGCTCACCGAGACCAACGACATCTTCCTGTGGTACACCGCCGCCAACAAGCCCGAGCTGCTGTTCTGCACCAAGCCGCGGAAGGGCCTGTCGCCGCAGCGCTGCCACCGCTTCCAGTCGTGCGCCTACAGGAGCAACCAGTGGCGCTACCGCGGCCGCTGCGACAGCATCCAGTTCGCCGTGGACAAGCGCGTCTTCATCGCCGGCTTCGGCCTGTACGGCTCCAGCTGCGGCTCGGCCGAGTACAGCGCCAAGATCGAGCTGAAGCGCCAGGGCGTGCCCATGGCGCAGCGCATCATCAAGTACTTCTCGGACGGCTCCAGCAGCACCTTCCCCGTCTGGTTCGAGTACCCGGTGCAGATCGAGCCCGACACCTTCTACACCGCCAGCGTGGTGCTGGACGGCAACGAGCTCAGCTACTTCGGCCAGGAGGGCATGACCGAGGTGCAGTGTGGGAAGGTCACCTTCCAGTTCCAGTGCTCCTCGGACAGCACCAACGGCACCGGGGTGCAGGGAGGCCAGATCCCCGAGCTCGTCTTCTACGCCTGAGCCGGACGCCGCCTCACCGCCGGACTCCAGACTTGACCTGAAGCTGCAGAGTCCTGGATCCTCCTGGACCCACCGCAGAGCCTCCAAGATCAGAGCACACAGACCCTGCAGCCTCACAGGTCCCACAGGCAGCAGGCCGGTTCCACGTGTCTCACGGGCGTCTCCACTTTGTCAAAGTTACAAATCCTAATTTCTGAGGAGAGCGTGTGTTTGTTGGGGACTACTTTCAGCAGCGGATTAATCCACACATTTACAAAATCACCTGATTTCTCTTTAGCCTTCTGAACTCCAACCAGCAGGTTTTGGGGCTTTGATTCTGTCTCAGGTTCCTTCACTCAGGTTCATGTTTCAGCACAAAGTCCTGCAGCTCTGAGGGACCAGAACCACATGAAGGAGGAGACAGAACTCAGAGACGTCTGCTGTCAGCAGGATGTGAGTCAACGTCAAAGTGGTTGTGATTGAATGTTGGATTTCAAGCTCAGAGATGTTGATGTTTCCTGAAGGTGGTTGAAGGACCAGCAGGTCTCCAGCTTTGATAAATGATTTATTTTAAAGATAACTTGTCTTTGGGGTTCAGAAGGTTAATATTCGCCTCAGTGTGTGAAAGGAAGCAGCCGTGTTCAGAATCTGTTTAATCATCTGCTGATTGAAGAGACGTCCAGACGGTCGAGGTGTGACCGAAGACAATCATCTGTGTTCTGTCGACGTTGTTTCAGCTCCACGTTGGATTTATTTCCAGATGTTCAGCCGTTCATGTATTATAAGCTGATGGAGCAGCAGTGTTCTCACAGCCGGGGCGGCGTCAGGAAGTCGCTGCAGCGTCCATTCAAAAGAAAAGCCTCAAACGAACACAGACCTGCACCGCCTGACTTCTGCTTCGTTTAACCGGCCTGAAGGAAAAACCGGAGCAGAATAAACCTGCACAAACACGTCACGTCATCAGATTAAAGTCTGGTTAGAATCTAGTTAAAATAACGAGAAAGATGACACATCATGATAATCTGACATTTTATCTTGATTAAATAATAACGCTCTGTAGTTCTGGGTTAATATTAATGTTTGTTTTTTTTAATCACCACATAAAGAGTCAAATTTAATATTTAAAAACAGAAAATATCTGATGAAAAGACTTCTGATGAATGAGATTGAATCATTTCACACCTAATCAGGAGCTAACCGTAGAAGATATTACACATTCGTTTCATGTTATCCTTAAAAAACAATCAGTCACGGTCCTCCATCAGCACCGTAAACTACCAGTGAGTCCAGTGAGTCCAGTGGGTCCAGTGGGTCCAGTGAGTCCAGGGTTCTCGTGGGAGGTTTCCGTGGAGATAAACTGCTCAGTTGCAGCATCTCAGTTTGTGGCCTTATTAAAGAAAGCTCTTATTTTGTAGGAGGAGGACCTGGGAGGCTGTAGAACGTGTTTCCTGTGCAGATCGTCGCTCTGAAACATTCCTGCTCCTGCTGAAGGACTTCAAAAACGAATGAAGCTCTAAAACAGACCTTAACTCTGAAGCCTGCTGACGGTTCGTATGACGTTTTGTATTTTGTCAGCCTCCTGTTTTTATACCGTCGCCTTCCTCTGGTGCTCATTAACGGACACGTTCACCTGTTACCTCCTGACCGTGTCCTCCGTGTATTTCTCATGTTTCACGCGTGTCCTGCGTCTGGTTTGGTGTAAATCTGCTTCTTTGTCTGATCTTTGTGAGAACGGAGGACAAGCTGTTTTCTATGTGACTCTATCCTGAGAAATCCTCTATTTTTGTCTCCAGAATGTGCAGTGAGTCGGTGGCCTTATCAGTGTGTTGCTGTGCTGACAGGTTTGGAAATAAAAGATTCAATCACAGTCCAGATGTTCCTCCTCTGTTTGCTGCTGAACACGTGAAAAACGGTTCCGACACATTCGCTTGTTCTTGAATCTAAACGAGGAGATTCTGAGATTCAAAAGTCAAACTGTGAAGGAAAAAGTCTGAAGTTTGAAATAATTTTAACTTAAAAAAGAAAAAAGTTTGAGATTCAAAAGTCAAATTTAACAGTTGGGTCCAAATTCGATTTAAAATCTATTGTTTAGTCAGTTCACAGAATATTTTGAGGGATTTGTCAGATTAAAGCTCAAAGTGGGACGAGTCAGGATTTAGTTCTTATTTTCTGAACATGTGGACGAAGTGAAGAGTTTTGTTTTCTTAGATTAAAGATTTGAACTTTTTTGTAAGCTTTATAAATAATTTGTTACTCAGAAGTTTTATTTGGCAGCGTTGGTTTAAAAAACGTCAAAATAAGTGATTATGAGTTAAACTTATAACTATAATAAGAAAACATGATGAGTAGAGTTTTAATTATGGTTTTGGCTTAATTCTAGTTTGACAAACACAACTGACTGTTCTCTCAGCTTTACAACTTTTTTCACTTTTAACTCGTATCTGTGACTTTTTATGTTTATGTCAAGTTAAATTAGCTAAATTCCATCAGACTCAGATCTGAGTTCAGAAGTCAAAATCAAAGAAGCTAAAAGTGAAGAAATATTTGATAAAAAATAAAAAGTCACAAATTCGAGTAAATTAAAAAAAACTTTGTTAATAGAGAAAATATATTTTTGCATGATTTCTCCTTTAGACTTTTAATTAAGGAGAATATTTTTAATCGTGAATCAGCTTTGTTACGTGATAAATGTTCTCTGTGTTCTCTAAACACTAAAACATTGGTACAGCTCAGTCTGCGCATAAAAGTGTCCCTCCGCTCCTCCCGTCCTGCTGTTAAAAACCCGGAAGTCCCTCCTCGGTTCAGAGTACAAACTCCACTGGAACACCCCCGACAGCCGCGCAGCTCCGCCGCCGTCATGCACCGATTAAAGCTCATTTCTGGACACTTGTGCCCCGGCGGCTCCGCTGAGCTCAGCCGGGACTTACGGAGAGCAGCGTGTGGCTCGGCAGCAGCGGCGGGCGGCCGCGACTCTCCCGAGGACGTGGTGGTGGTTCACGGACGGAGGACCGCGATCGGAAGAGCGAAGAGAGGCGCTCTGAAGGTACCGAACACACGAACTGTACCGAGTTTAACCGAAACCTGCCGACTGAGCCAAAGTTCAGAAAACAACAAACACACGAACTGTACCGAGTTTAACCGAAA